AGTAGAATTAAATAAAAATTGATTTGATTCTTTGTAAATAAAATAATAGTTGTAAATCTTTCATTCATTTTCTATCAAAGAAACATTAAATAAAAACATATTTCTTTCAAAAATTTCAGATAGAAGCATGCATGAATGGTTATCAAAAATAGAATATTTAAGCAATCAAGGAAGTATATAAAATCAATCATTTTAATTTGCTCAATACTTACACTTTCTGTTAATTAAAATCTATTGTTTCTATTTAGAAGTGCATATTAAAATTATAGACACTTTAGCTAAGACACAATCATAGCTACTTTAACAAAATGAGTTTATGATTAATAAACAAATAAATCAATTATTCTTTACATTATCTTTATTGATTGAGTTAATTCCGTAAAGGAATTCGTATCCATAGTGCTATACTTTTCTTTTAGCAAGCTTATTCCATTCCTTTTTATCTATTTCTTCCATAATAAGCTTTTCATAGTCTTGTGTAATAAACTCTTCTTAAAAGATGAGGCCAGGAGCATCTACTTTTCTTTAAGCTTCTGGGAAATCATTGTTCTTATTTTAACAAATATCGGTAAGCTTGCATTTAGCATATAAGAAGAAGGTAGGACGAATTTTCTTTTCATATGTCATTTCCTTATAGTGACAATTTTCAATCTATTCAAAACTTTCTAAGCTATTTATAGTTTATTCTGCTTTTTTAATATCATCAAACTATATATAACCATAACCTAAACCAGGGAATACTGTAAGTTTATGAGGACCTGCTACTGAATTTACATAATCTCTGACAGTAACGTAGTCAGCCTCTTCTCCTATACCAAAATGCAATACAAATAAGTTACTGGTTGCTTCTTTGAAACTGAAAAGCTCTTCAGGGGCTTTACCTTCAGTTTAACTTATAACTTAAATACCTCTTGATAGCTTTTTTTATAAATCATATATCTTAGCGTTGAGAGCTTTCTTAGCCTTTTTTTCTTTTAATTTTTGTTCTTCTTCTGGTGATAACTACTTTCCATCTTAAATCTATTATTCTCCTTCTTTCTATTATGCTTGATTTGATTTTTCAATATCCTCTAAATTTTGTTTAACTTCTTCTTGTGACATTTCTTAATTTGCTTGTAAACTATTTTAATAACTTGTAGTTGGGTTTACCAAATATGTTTATTGGATTTCTTTGAGTTGCTTTTACTTTTTTTGCAGTTTTGTTTTGAGCTTTTCTGCTTTATTATTGTGATATTAATTATCTAATCCTCTATCCTTCAAATATATATCTATATATTTATTATCAATAATTTTCTTTTTTTAGCCTAAATAACTTTTTAGTTAATTATTAAGGCCTATATTTAATCGGATCAAGTATCTCCCAATCAAAATGTTTAACCCTAGGCAATACTATTTGATTTATTTATTTATTATTTTGAATTTATAATTTTTACTTAATAATTAATTATATTATTAACGTAATTAATTGATTTAGACAATGTACAAAAAAAAAAAAATATTGTTTGAACTGTATGGCTTTAATCTAGATTATTCTAAAGCTATTTATTTAAGATATTAGCAAAATATTTTACTAATTTGAATTAATTTCATCAAAATCTTTTTAGAATATTGTAATTCCCAATATATTTAAAGGATTTGAAGAGAGTGTTTATTATTAATTTACTGCATTTTATTTATTAGACAAATTAATCAATTAAAAATATAAATTTTGATTAAAAAAATCTTTTTCAATAAATTTCCAAACAAATTAAGTAAATGGATAATAAAATAAGTATAAATTAACAATAGGATTCAAAGAATTTATTTGTGCCTGTCAGTTTAAATGAAAATCTTACTAAATTTTACGGAAATAGCTAATTAAAATGGGTGCTAATTGTTATATTTTTAGTTTCATTTAGTTTTGTGAGCTACAATGTTTTATTTAAATTAGAAATTGCTTAAAAAAATGATAATGTTTTCTATCTTAACTAGACTACTTTTTAATAAACCTAAATTCATAAACAGTAACAGAAATCTAATTCAAGATTTTTAAGCGTAAAATATTTTTTAATTTAAATTAAAATCCAATTTTTTTAAAGTGATTTACAAAATATAGACTTATTCATGGTTATTCATTTCAATCAATTTGTTAAACTCAGTTATTTGATTTTCAAATAGAAAGAAAAATCTAAAATAAACTATTTATAATTTTTATCATAAAAAAAAATATTTTATTTAATTTATTTGAATAAATAAAATATAAATATTTAAAATAAAAAGATTGAACAGGAGCAAGAAAATGAAATTAATAAGGAAGAAAACACAATCAATAATAAAGAAGAAATAAGCAAAGCTTGGGAATATTTTTATATATTGAGATAATATGTTTTGATACTTTTATTATGGATTTTTATCAAATTTTTTGATAATGGCATCATAAAAAAGGATGGAAAATATTATTTAGATATAGGTTTTATAATGTTTAGTGAAGGATTGGCTTTTGGATTTTTAACTTGTTTTGGAATTCTTTCAGTATTAGGTGTAATTTTATCATACGTTCTAACTTATAATATAAAAGAATCTGTTGAATTTGCTCATAGTATAGACTCACTTTAAACAACTTTGTATCTATGGATTTTTACATTAATTTTTGTGGGTTATTTTTCTTTAACTCATCCAAAAAATAGAGGTATGAAAGAAAAGGTTATCCTAACACTTGCTATTATTCCTAGTGTGGCTTTAGTATTTGTGTTACCAGTTTAAGGAATGATTATTTTGATGAACTGATTAAGAGTGAGTGAATTAATTAAATTGTATTATTTAATTAATATTTTTTTTGTATATAATTTTGTTATATAAATAGAAAAATTAAATACAAATTATTGATTAAAAATAATTTTAAATCAACAATTAACACAAAAAATTTAATAAGAATTGAATATCAGAAGTAAAAAAATATAATGTGCGAAAATTTATAAATTTTCAAGAAGATACTTTTTTCATAGCTTATCATTAAATTATTCTAAATAATTTTTAAAATATATAAGGAATTGATTTATTAATTAATTAATTTGATTCAGTTAATTATTTTTGAAGTTTTTGGAAACAACTATTTATTTTTAAAGATTGATAATAATTAAAAATTTTTACTTTCTAAAGCGCATCAAAATTACTCATAAAATCACTTTAAAGCGATATATAAAATAATTATAAAAACATATTTATAAGAATGTCTTCTTATTACAGAAGAGAGAGTAGTGAGAGAAGCACTGAGCGCCAACAGATAAATCGTAAGAAGAGTGAAAAAGAATTTGAATGGAATAATTAGTTATAAACTTTAGAGAATGAGCTTGAGGAGAAGATTAAGAAAGAGAAAGAGATGTGCTATTAAATTAATAATTTAAAGGAGGATTTGGAAAAAAAATTAAAAGAATTAGATGAAAATTAGTCATAGGTTAGTGAAAACAATTCAACTTAACGCTTTTAATCTCGCAAAAATGTGTTTGGAACTTTTAAATAAAAAACAAACACAGATAAAATGTCATCACTTGCTTACACAGCAAGTACAATAAAAAAGAAGCAATCATAATCTCCTATAAGAGACATTGGCGGTGCTTCTACTTATTCTAAATAAAAAACTTACACAAATTAAAGTCCTAGAAATAAAACCCCTACAAAGTAAACAAATATAAATTATACTGAGTTAAAAACTCATGTCTCGAGTAAAAGCTCTAACAATATATTATAAAGTTCAAATTAAAATATTAAAAATAAAAATATAATGATTAATGTTAATTAAAATGGACTGGGAAGTAGCTTTGCTACTTAAGAAAGCAAAGAAATAACTTATGCTTAGATAGCAGAAGAGCGAATCAAAAGTGGTGAGAGATTAAGGTCAAACTTGGAGTAGGAGAGATAAATTTTAATACTTAAGCAAGCAAACGAAGTTTAAGAAAACGAAATTAAGAGACTAAGATCTAACAAATAAATAGATTAAGAACGATATGAGGCATTGTAAAAAGAGAATATTTCTATTCTATAAAAATTGAAGGAGTTAGAAATTAAATACTAAGTGTAGAATGAACGAATTAAAGATATTGAATGGGAGAATAATAAGTTAATGGATGAAGTTAATATCAAAGACGCTCGTGTCAAGTAAATTAAAGATAACGACTTCAAAGTTAAAGAATATTAGGAAAAATATGAATTAAAAGTTTTAGAAATTCAAGCTTTACAAAGGCAGATTGACCAAATAAATGAAAAACATTTGCAATTTAAATTGCAAATGCAGTAAAGAGATTCTGACATAAAAAACGAAATTAAGACATCAGAATTGATAATACAGCAGCAAGAGTCATAAATTCAAAATTTAAATGAATAGATTTTAGAACTACAAAATTAGAACACTGCAATTTTGAGAGAATAACACACTACTACTTAAATTGAAGAAGATTGGAAAAATGAAGTTTCGTGCCGTATCTAAAAAGAAAAAGAAATCGAAGACTTGCTTTAAGAAATAAGAAATATAAAAGAAAATAATTAGATAAAAGAGGTGCAGTAACAAGGAAAAATGCTTCTTCTTTTTGCCGAAAACGAAAGACTTCATCAGATTATAATGAATATGCAAATGGAAGTTAAAACACTTAAAGGATAAGTTAGCTAATATTAGCAAAATACATTCAATATATCGTTTAATTCAGCTAATAAGCCAAGTATGACGTAAGGCATTAATGCTACTTAAGAAGAGCTTGAGAAAGTCAAGCTTCATCTCTAAGTTAAACTCAAAGAAAATGAGAACTTAAGGAACTAAATTTCAAGTCTTGAGCAGTTGCCTTAAATTGTAACTGAGCTTGAGAGAAAACTAAAGCTGCAAATATCAGAAAACAAAAGACTTACATAAATGATATATGGCAGATTAAATGATAAATGGTGATCTATCTATTAATTATAAAAAGTTTTTTAATTTCAATATTTATACATTACTTGATAAAATTTTAGTCATAAAAAATAATCAAAAATAATATCTTTTCTCTCAATTATTACATAAACAAACAACACAAAAATTAAATTTAAACTTGTATAAAGATTTATATAAAAATAATAGTAGTATTCTCAAAAACTTTAAGATAATTTTATTTTAATAACTAATTAGAATATAAAAATTATCATTATTAAAAAACTAAATTTATTTTAAATAGAAAATTCAAAAAGAAAGTTGATCATTGATAAATAAAGATATCTCCAACTTGTTGATTGAGTTTATTACATTTAAATAAGATATTTTGAATAAGTGTGATTAAGATAAATAAAATTTAGTTTTTTTTTATGAATTAAGTTCTAAATAATAAATTGAAATGTAATTTTAAATTTTTTTAAGTATATTTTTTTATTTAAGACGATTAATGAATGCTTTTGGATGAATGCATAATTAATTAAGAGTAAATCAAATATAATTTTTTTTTAATAAGATAGAAACTCATATTAATCATGAATATATAGTATATATACGTATCACTTACGAGGGAAATATTATATATAATTAAGTAATTTTACATTAATATATGAAAGCAGGAATTAATTTTAAATTAAATAGTGGTGAAATAATTTATTTTAAGATATATTTATTTATTGTTAATTAGTTTTTTATATGGTGACTTTATTTGTTACTATTTATTTGTAATAATTAATATCAACTTGAGCCGAATGAGAACATCTAATTATATTTAATTGAGTTAATTTTATATGATATTATAATCTTTATCATTAAATTTACCTTTCCGATGTTACTCATAGTGCTTCTTACTGTGCTTTGGTCTCTTAGCCATGCATTTTTGAGTATTTCACTTTCAGCTTATGAAAATTAGAGCACTGTTTATATAACTGGTAATGTCCTCTCTTTAACCTGAAAATAAAAAATGATAAGATTATATTTTGCAATAAAATAAAAATTAAAATTATTACTGATTAATCGCTGTTGAAAAATTTAATTAAAATATTTTTGATGTATTAAATATTGACATTCTTCTTCATTTCTTATTGTAAAAATTCAATTTTGATATCTCTTTCTTTAACTTATTTCTATGATTCGATTTTGAGGTTTTCCAAATTTTTTTGTAAATCTTTAATCCTGAAGAAATAAATAATAGTATTTATATTAGTTAATTAGTTCTGATAGAAAAAATAATTTACATTTTTCTTCCCTAGCTGAGTATTTCTTCTTTTTCTGCTTTTTCAGCTTCTTTTTGTTTGCTCAGTTGCTTGTATTTATCCTCCCATTGCTTTTCTTAGTTAGATGCATCTTATAGGGTGGAATGTTACTTTTTAAGAGCTTCAAATAAAGTCTATTAAAGCAATATAACGTGCTCTTTAATAGTATTGAGACAGTCATTTTCTGCATTCGCGGAAATTGATTTTTACATCTTAATAAGTAATAATTTAACTTTGTTCATGCATTCTTTTCTTACATTTTCATCATTTTCCTCAGCCATATATCCTAAACAATTTTCTCTGATTTCTTAGCTAATATTATTTTAATATTTAATCTATAAATTATAAATGGTAATTATAAATAAATACCTTTCATCAATAATTTCTGATACTCTTTCATTTAAAAACTATAAATTTTCTTCATTCTTTTTATTGGTTAAGTTTAAATTAGTCAATGTTTCTTAGAATTTCCTTTAGACAACTTCATTTTCTTATTTCTTTTTAAGAAAGAAAAATTAAAATTTATATTGATTTATTTTTATAATTACAAGTCTTTTCATTCTCTCTTCATATTAATTAATAACATTTTATAATTCTGATTGACTCTATTTTTAAATTTTTTCAAAATTCTCTTTCATTCTTTCATATTCCTGCTAGTTTATTGCTGAAGGAATTATGTCATTTGGTAAATCTTACAATTCACTTTCCCTAATCCATTCCTATATTTTAAAATATTCTTAATAAATTCAAGTTATTTTATTCTATAAAATTACAATTGAGTGTGTACATTTCAAACAAATCCAAATAATCCCATCTATATCCACTGAAGCTAAGACTTTCAAAACTTAAGAAGCATCAACTAAATAATTAAACATAGAAAGCGTTGATTTTTTTGAAAAAGTATTGAATAATTATTTATTTACATGTCTTTTTTTCCTCATTTAAATATTTTTGGAAAACAGATTCTAATTATGCATATTTATTTATTTGCCCTTCTATGATTTCATTCTTTTATTTTTAATAGAATATTTTTAAAAAAATATGATTGCTTATTTGCATATTATACCTTTTATATGATCTCTGCCTTTTATTTATCAATAGTAATCTTAGCCTTTCTAAGAAGATCTTTCATATTTTCTATTTTTTATTCTGCTTCTTTTCTGTACATATCTAAGCACTCTGTTAAATTTTCTGAGCTAGCAGCGCTACATTGGCTGGTATTCATATCTGTTTACATTTTTTAATTTAAGCTTATAATTCTTATACTTTGGTAAATTTAGATATTAATAGATTGATTGATAATTATATTAATTAATTTTTTTTTTTTTCAATCTTTGTTTGCAAAGATTTTTACTTCCTACCAAAGAGACCAATCAACTCTTTGACACATTTGTAATCATTAATTAATATATTTAAAAACGAAAAAAAAAAAAAAAATAAACTAAAATTTAAAAAATACTCAACTTGTATAATTACTAAGTTCGTTTTTAATTTTAAAAATCAATTTAGTTGTTTTAGTTAAATTAATAAATTTTGTCATAGGTATAATAACTAATTAAAAAAAGGATATCAGTATATTATATTGTTTTTTTGTTTCTGCAATAATTCAATTACAATTTTGTATAAATAAAATAATTTATTGTAATAAAAGCAAATTATTAAATTATTTTCTCAAATAATTCTTCTTTTGAAAATTAATCTTTGAATTAATTTTTTTATTAATTTTTAATTCAGTAACTATTCTTGGTAAAATTATGAATCTATTTTTAAATTATAAAATATATAAATAATAAAAATAAATAAATAATAGAAATATATTTTTGCTATTTCTTTTTGTTATATTTTTAAACTCTAATTTAAGTGTATTAATATTCCAAGTTAAAGTGGATTAAATAATTTTTCTATTAATTAGTTTGTTAATGATTACAAAAAATATGTTTTTTTAGCTGATTAGAATAAATTGCTTCAATATATTTATAATATAAATTTAAAAAAGTATAGATGAGAAAAAGGATTATCCATAATTTAGTTTAGTTTAATTTTATTGCATTAATAAAAAGTTTTTTAAAGAATAATAGAAAATAGTTTCTTTAGAAATAAACAAATGATAAATAAATGCATTAAAGAAATTTGATTTTCTTTAAAAATAAAAATTTTATTACAACTGAGTACATTTAAAGGTATTAATTACTTAGAAGTTAATATAAATAAGATAAAAATAATGTTTTCATTTTAACACTTTTTTAGAAAGCTTTGTTTTTTAATTGATTTTGCTTTTATTTAAAGATTTATTGGTAATGACTGATTTATTATTAATTGTACTTTTGGTTGCATTTAAACCTGACTAGTTTTTTATTTTAGTAGATTTTTTAGTTTAAACAGATTCAGATAAATTTAAAAAATCGTTAATAGTTTCTCTTTTTGACGTTTATTAAATTTCTGTAGGTAGATGTTAGTAAGTTTGGATATTTTCTTCTAGAGCATTTTTTATGTTTGAAATATTTTTCTTTATGTCTCCACCAATATTTTTTGCTTTGCTTTGATTACTTTTATTTTCTTTTTGAGGATCTCTTGAAGGACTTTTTAATTGGTTGCTTGTTTTTTAATTTATGTTATCTTTTCTATCAAATATTTTAATTGGCAAGCTAATATCTTCATTTGAATTGTCTCTAGAAAATTATCTCTAGCTTTAATTTTAAATATCTTCATTCTCTTAAGAATTTCTTTATACATTAGTTGCATATTTGTTTTGTTAATTCTAAGGGCAATTATTTTAAACTTATTAGTTACTTTGCTAATTATTTTATTATAAAAACTACTATTGATTATTATTATACATCTGTTCAACTGAAAATAGTTATTATGGTGCTTAGTTTTACATATTGTTTTTTTGGCCTGATAAACTTAATTAGTATGGCTTTCTATTTAAGCTACTAAATACAGCTGCATTTCTCTATTGATAAATTTCATCTAGAAGATCCAATTCATTTTGGATTTATAAATTTGAATCCTTCAAATGATTGCTATTAACTGGTGGTGTACTATTATACTACTAAATAGATGAAATATTATTAATTTAATTAATATTATTATTAGTAGGGCGAGTTCTGCTTTATGGAGATAAAAAAAGAGATTACTCTTTATTTAAAGATTCTGCATATTACATTTGAATTAATTTTTCTTTATCATTATCTACTAATTAATGATAAAGATTAAGTATTCTATTATACTTATTAGAGAGAATTTCATTTTGACTTAAGACAAGCTTATATTGTCTATTCAAATTTTCATTTTGACTCATTAATTCTAACTTTTCTTTTTCTGAAATTTCTAACTTTTTTGCTAAAATCATCATTTCTTATTATTATTCATACTAAGTGAAGACTCTTTGCTAATTATATGATTCAACTTATCTATTTTTAAGTTACGAGATTATGCTTTCTTTTTATTCTAAAGTTAGTAGAAGACTTTGCATGTCCATTAATTACTTTTCTTATTACAATTTTTACTATTCAATAATTTGCTCCATATCTAAAATCTTCTTCCTATAAGCTTATTCTAATAAAGTTACTTCTTATAAATGTTCTCTTTGTAATTCTTTTAAATCTTGTGTTTAATATTCTTTTCCTATTTCCTTCATTAAAGACTAATTAATTGCTCCGTTTACACTCATTTGTTTCTCCTATCTTGAAGGGGGACTTATCTAATTACGAATTTTACCAATTTCTCTACTTTAATTCATATTTAATTGCATCTAATTATTTCTAAGAGAATTGTTGTGAGAGAATTATTAGAAATGAGCACTTTGCTACTTTGATTCCATCTAAATACTAGCTTATTAATCTTATTGCCCTAGTTCAGGTAGATTTGCATAATAATTTTGATTATATTATCCTTGATCTGTAGTTATAATATCTTGTTAATTTAAAATATTTTATCTTGGATTATTGCTGCTTTGTTCAAATTGCTAATTCTTTAAATGAATCAAAGGCTATTAAAATATCTAATCCGTTTAGTTTTATGATAATGTTTCTGTCGGAATAGTAAGAGGTAAAGAGGGTTACTACGAAAGAGTTTGAAGCTGTTTCTCTATTTGTTAAATAAGCTTATGTGTTTCCTCTATTTTATTTTAGTTATCTTCCAATGATTAAGAAAGATTGAGAGTATCCTAATTCTTCAACGTCTTCATTTAAAATCTTATTAATTTTTGAATTAATTTATTGATTGATTGAAACAGTTGATACAATTTAATATTTATTTATTTTGATTAATTGATTGATTTTAAATTAAACAAATTTTATTTTCAGTAATTTAAAATTTCATAAAGATACATATATAAAGACGTAAAAATAGCATCTATGTATTAAAAATCAATAGATATTAGAAAGTGTATTTTATCTTTTTATTACAGAAAAATAAACAAGAACTTAACTATTCATAAGAAAATATTTTTGCTAAAAATGAATTAAAGTATTCTATTAAATGTTGAAGATAATTATATTTGTAAAAAAATTTTAGTTTTCTCAAATAAACTTCCTAGGTAATTCTAAGCAAGTCTGCCATATTTAATTTCAAGACTAAGCAATTGGAGGGATAATTTTTACAGATTAATAGTTTCTTTGTATTTTAGATTTGTTGTTATAATTAAATGTCTTTCTTAAATTTAATATGCATCTTTATTTTTTCGAAAGTTCTCATTATTTAACAATATTTTTCCTGAATAAAAATATTTATTATTGATTTTAATTAATAATCAAATTACTTTTTAAATAATCAATGAAATTTAATTTTTTATTAAATTTTTTTTATTTTAGCTCTTCAAAAATTTTTTACTTCCAAATTCTGAATTTTGGTTTACAAACTTGCTACAGGATTTGCTCGTAATTTTCATAAAATAATCAAAATTAGCAGCCTGTAGGAAGATCATAGCTATTATCATAAAAACAGAAAGAAAAAATTAAATTATTTCATTATAAAATAAAAAGCTTACAGAAGTGAAAATTTAGAAGTCCTTGCATCTTAATCCTGATAGAGTATCTTTTTCAACAATAAGTCGATATGCGCGGACTTAGTTTAATTGTATTGTGGAATTAAAAAAAACAAAAATTTCATCAAAAACTAACCAAAAAGGATTAAATTTGTGGAAAATATGTATGATTTGACAGAAGAAGAAATAAGTGATATAATTTTTATAAGAAAATATGTATGTTATGATAAATTCTGAATAATCCACTTGAACGAAATTAAATATCAAAAATATTATGTAAACAAAAACTCTATTTTTTTAAATCCTAAAAAATATCGAAATATTTTTTCTTTCACAAAAAATCAAGCAAATTTTTATAAATTTAGATTCAAAAATCTAAAATGAAAATAAGAAAAAAATTTTTTGTTTTCGATTTTATAAAATCAAAAGAAAATTTTTAATCAAACTATTGTATCAAATCGAACATATAGATAAATTTATTCGTACCCATAGCTATGATGATGTATAATAGTCTTGATGATAGTTCATAAAGCAGTGAAAAATTAATTGATAATTATAATACAGAATAAGCTTTAGAATAATCGAGCAATGTTAGTAATGGTAATTAAAATAAATTTAAAAAGAGCTATTCTATTAATGTACCAACTGAAAGTAGTTATCACAACTAATTAAATTAATAAATAATATAATATAATATAATGAAGCTTTTCTCTAAAGCACTAAAAATTTTACTTAAAATAAACAGGTGCCCTATCTATAAAAAGTCTTTTTATTTTTAAAATGTTACATTTGGGATTAAAATTTTTACTCATTTTATTTGGTATTCAGCTTTTGTCAATTTAACAAATATTATGCTTATATTATTAAACTACTTAATAAATTAAAGGTAGTTTATTATAATACAATATATTGTATAGTTTAACATTTAAATTAGAAAAAGTTATTTAATTTTTAATATGGTTTTCTTAACAATAATATAATCAAGTATTATTATTTATTTAATATAATTTTTTAATTTAGTGAAAAATTTAGTGGAGAGTTGAAACATATTTAATTATTTGTAACAATAAAATAAAATAATTTAATAATGTCAATATTATTTATTTACAGTAACAGTATTCTAGTCTTTCTATTTTGAAAAAATAAGTTATATTAAAATTAAATGGAATTAATTATTATTAAAGTTACCATTTATATATCTGAAAGAACAGTATAGCTAATTTTAGCATTTCTTTAAAAGTTTTCACTTGTAATCAATAGCTAGTTTTCAATTAAGATTAAGCTATCAGGCACAAAATTCCATATTGATAAATTAGATTTGTTACGGAAAATATCTTCAGTTTTAGATTTAAAAATAATTTTTTCTTCTTAATTTGTAATTGTAAGTACAGTAAGGTTATATTCAGAACACATTTATTTAATTATATTTATAATCTAAGTTATGTATGAAAGGTATTCACTGTATGGTTCTTTTTTTCTCAAAATCATTGCAAAGTTATCAATAACAAGTAAGTTAATCTTGCTTTAATTATAATATTTATTCTAACTTAATTGGCTCATGAGTATGCATAGAGAAATATATAAACTTTTAGCATCTTAAATTATTTAATGGTAGAAGCATTTTTCAAATTCTTTCTTTTATGCATTGAGTCCATACTATTTGAAGTTATTTTATTTTAATATATTCTAAACAATGATAATTAATTAGTTAAATATAATATTACCATTTTCAAAAATCGTTTTAAGTTAAATTAATTAGAAATATCTAGATACCAAGCACCTTTTTGATTACATTTAAAATTTTAAGAAATTAACTTTTATGCAAGGATTGACTTTCCTGAGCAAGGATATCCACTTAATTCATAAACTTTTCCTATTTACAATCCTCCTTCAAGTAGATCATCTAATCTATTATAAATATTTATTTATTTAACTAATACTCTTCTAAAGCTTGATCATGTATTTTACTCTTTTTCACCAAAAGTAAGATTTTACAGATTTTACTACTTTTTAAGAAGTTCCTTAGCGTTTTAGAGAGGAGTTTTGCAAAAAGAACTCGAAATTTTATATTAAGCATCATTTAGTTACTATTAATAATTGGAATAATTAAATTTTGCATTTTATTTCAAGCAAATATTGTAATTTTTTATTAATACCTTGTTTGTCATTCTATTTAATTTCAATAGATCCTCCTCATAGCTTAGGCAATATTGATAAACTTTTTAGAAAATTTTGTTAATTTTTACTTAAAAAATGCATTTTTACTATTAGAAACTCCTAATTATTCAAGATAATTTTAAAGTTATAATTGTTTCTCGTTTTATGTTTGCATCTAATATATGTATGTTTTAGTTATTCTATTTGGAGTATTTAATATTAATATAAAATTTGAATCGGAATTATGCTAAAAAATATCACCAGATATTTTAGGCAATAAATTATTATCAAAATTGCAGATTTAAGCGCTTAAAGTGAATTAATATAATTTAACAATATCTATTAATTAATTAAATTTTTCAGTAAAAATATTATTTAGCTTGACCGTAGGTATGTGCAATTAACTAACTAGTTAATTTATTTAAATTAATAATTAGTTTAATAATCAAATTTTATTAATTTCTAAATTTAAGGTAATAATAACGATATTATTTAATCAATATTTTAAATATAATGATTTGTTTGGATACATTCATTTCGAATACTTTTTTTGTATTTAAAACGAAGTGCAACTAATTTTAAACCAAGTATTTATATTTTATCACAATTTTTATAATCAATCATGAAAAGGAAAACTTAAAGCACAACAACATTAAAAGCAAATTTAAATGATGTTAAATTTGCTAAGCTAGTCAAATATCCTAATGAGATTGTTAAGGCAAAGCTGAATAAACTTAAATTAGGTGTAATCAATCCTGAAAGTACATTTCAGGAACCATTTTAAATAGTTGAAGGAATATAATTACATCCAGATTCGAATAGATTATCTTTAAATAGCTCATATAAGAAGCATCCTTATAAACCCTTTCCATAAAGGCATTTATAATCTGTTTTTGAATACTCTTAATCTGAAAATCAGACACCAAAAGATTTGGATTCAGAAACTATGATGGCATAAGAGGTTGGATGGAAGAAAAGCACTAAGCAATTGTCAAATACTTAAGATTATTAATACTTTTTTAGGAATATGCCACCTGCCAACTATTTTACTACAGAAGTATAAATTTAGATTTAAAGCATTTAAATTTATATTATAAAAATAGCATATTTTTTAAAAAAAAAGAATCAAAGAAAAATTATATGTTAAGTCTTTGATTATTTAGAAGATATAATGGATAACTAGAGGTTTTCAGTCAGATTAAAAAGGATTTTAAAGGAAAGAGAATATTAAATAGAAACATAAAAAAGATATAAGAGGTTTAAAAGAAGAAAGCAGAAAGAAGTTATTGAAAAAATAAAGGTAAACTTATTTATGAGAATTATAAACACTTATCAATCACTCCAATCAAAGGAATTTTATATAAACAGAGTTCTTCAGGAAGTGATAATGACTTGACTCTGACAAAAAATTATAAATTAGCTGACTTATGGGAAATTCTTAAGGATAACTTGTTAAAATTAAATAAAATGAGCCAGATTTCAATCGAAACAGAAGAATGTATCTTATTATCAATATAAATTAAATTAATAAGATATTTTAAACCTTTATATTTAATAAAAAGTGAGTTGTGAAGAGTTTGTTTAATTTATCAACGATGTAGGATTTGAAAACTAAAACATTTTAAAAGTATTTTTTGAGGAAATGAAAACATTGAGAGTTGGAAGGCAGCAGTCGATATCTAAGAACTCTTCTGATTAAAGCTAGTTTATAATAAAAATACGACTGTTTATGGTGAACTTTTAAAAGTATATGGATAATAATGAAAAAATAATGTATTTGCACAGTTAAAATGCAGTTTATATGAGAAATGTTAGCCTAAAAAATTACATAAATCTCTGGCATGTATATTTATTTTTTAACTTACTTACTTACTTACTTAGTTTATTTGCTAAATAATTAAAATATTTATTTTACTAAATTTTATTTTGTAGAAATCATTCTAGCAAATAAGGCAAAAGCTAAAGCAAAAAAAAATACAAGAATAGTCTTGCTTTAGGTTTTTAAAAGAGGTAAAAGAAAATGATGAAGATGAAATAGTGTTTGAATTGGAAGATTTTTTGCAAGAAAGATAAAACTAATTGCAAAAACCAAAAATTTCTTATAAAGAAGTAGAAGTACATAGCGAAGCAACAAAACTTTTGCAAGAATAATTAGATAAAGCTCATTAATAAATATAGGAAATATATGGTATGATTTAATTTAGGATAAATATATTTATTTCTAATTTAAGTAATTATTTACTTTTTTAATAAATAGATGGGATTGTAGATAAAATGTAGGATTTTGTTGATTAAAGGAACAAATTTTATATCTAGAAAAAGTTGTTTTGCAATCTTTTAAATAATATTGATATTTTTCCAGGGGTTGATGAATTTATTGCTTACATAGATGAGCATCTATTTGAGATAAAAAGTAACAAGGAGACTGTTTCAAATTTTTGTTAGAATTTTATTGAAGATAAAGATACTTTCAATGAATTCAACGTGAGTCTAGTTGAAATAGCTGATTTTATATTCAGTCAGAACTATGGACAAGAATAAACTAAAATAATATCAAAGCTTGTTGAATAAATAAGAAAATTGTTCAGAAAGTAAAAAAATTTGACTGATAATATAGAAATCAAAGGAGTTTAACTTATTCACATGAATATTTTTGAAGCTGCATAGTAGATTGTTACAGATAAATATTAAATTAAAATTGATTTTTTAGAATCTATGAAAGAGAAAGTTGTGCAGCTTCATGAGAAGTACTTGAATAAAATCTCAATCAACTAAAAAAAGAATGCAGAAATGAATTTTCTTTATGAGTATTTGCTCAAATAATTTAATACAATTGACT